CTCACTCCTACTAGTGAATGTAATGTAACACACACCCATACAATGCGCACCACCCCGTGATGTTTTTCTCACTCCTACTAGTGAATGTAATGTAACACACACCCATACAATGCGCACCACCCCGTGATGTTTTTCTCACTCCTACTAGTGAATCTAACGTAACACACACCCATACAATGCGCACCACCCCGTGATGTTTTTGTCACTCCTACTAGTCAATCTAATGTAACACACACCCATACAATGCGCACCACCCCGTGATGTTTTTCTCACTCCTACTAGTGAATCTAATGTAACACACACCCATACAATGCGCACCACCCCGTGATGTTTTTCTCACTCCTACTAGTGAATGTAATGTAACACACACCCATACAATGCGCACCACCCCATGATGTTTTTCTCACTACTACTAGTGAATGTAATGTAACACACACCCATACAATGCGCACCACCCCGTGATGTTTTTCTCACTCCTACTAGTGAATGAAATGTAACACACACCCATACAATGCGCACCACCCCGTGATGTTTTTCTCATTCCTACTAGTGAATGTAACACACACCCATACAATGCGCACCACCCCGTGATGTTTTTCTCACTCCTACTAGTGAATGTAATGTAACACACACCCATACAATGCGCACCACCCCGTGATGTTTTTCTCACTCCTACTAGTGAATGTAATGTAACACACACCCATACAATGCGCACCACCCCGTGATGTTTTTCTCACTCCTACTAGTGAATGTAATGTAACACACACCCATTAAATGCACACCATCCCGTGATGATTTTCTCACTTCTAGTAGTGAATGTAACACACAACCATACAATGCGCACCACCCCGTGATGTTTTTCTCACTCCTACTAGTGAATGTAATGTAACAAATACCCATACAATGCGCAGCACCCCGTGATGTTTTTCTCACTCCTACTAGTGAATCTAATGTAACACACACCCATACAATGCGCACCACCCCGTGATGTTTTTCTCACTCCTACTAGTGAATGTAATGTAACACACACCCATACAATGCGCACCACACCGTGATGTTTTTCTCACTCCTACTAGTGAATGTAATGTAACACACACCCATACAATGCGCACCACCCCGTGATGTTTTTCTCACACCTACTAGTGAATGTAATGTAACAGACACCCATACAATGCGCACCACCCCGTGATGTTTTTCTCACTCCTACTAGTGAATCTAATGTAACACACACCCATACAATGCGCACCACCCCGTGATGTTTTTCTCACTCCTACTAGTGAATGTAATGTAACACACACCCATACAATGCGCACCACCCCGTGATGTTTTTCTCACTCCTACTAATGAATGTAATGTAACACAAACCCATACAATGCGCACCACCCCTGTTGGGAGCCGCAGCCCCGAGCCCGGTCGCCTCACTTGGCGGACGTGAGGCCTGTAGTAAAGAGTGAAGCCTGAGGTAGATTACCCCTCCCATCGAATATGTTAGTTTCCTGCTTACCGCGTAAACAACCCGCTCAACAATATAGTCTGCCTGGCAACTGATGATGTTAGCCAATCAGCTTGCCTTGCTTACTTTAACATGATTGGACACTGTACCCGTATATATACCGGTGCCACCCCTGGGCGGAAGAAGAAGCCAGATAGAAGCCCGGAAGTAGAAGCCCAGAAGGAGCCGCAGAGAGCGGACCGATAGAGGCTTTGGGGCAGGCTGAAGCACAAAAGGAGCCGCGGGGAGCAGACCAAAGGAGGCTTCAGCTGGGAGAACCCAGGGCAGGCTGTACGGAGAAGGAAAATAAAAAGAAAAGGTTGTCCACTACCAGACTGTGTCGTGTGTCCTTCCTGCCGGCCGGGAGCGGACATCGACATTTGGAGGCCCGCCCGGGGACTGATCACCCCCGCGACGTGGAAGTGGACAACGCTCCAGTACAGAGCTGCGAGACAGGTGAGTTGGGGATAAGCCTGGGCTCTGGGTGGCGCGCACCTACAGGGCTTTTAGACTCCCCTCAGGCTCACGCGTAAGTGGCGGATTCCTTGGGCCTCACGCGGTGAGTAACATATTAAAAAATGGGAAACATGCTAGGTAGCGGCACTAAGAGCGAGGGTGGTTGTGGAGAAAGCTCTCAAGAGCTTACAAAAGTACGCAGGGTATCTGAGCAGGCCCAGTCAGGGAGCTCCCGAGAGGTGTCTGTCAAGGGGAACAAGGATGCTAAGGAGGAGGACGGGGCTCTAGCCTCGGAGTCGTCTGACTCCAAGGACGAGGGAAAGTTGAATGGCAGGGAGGCCAAAGAGACCAGCTGTCAGGAGCCTAAGTCGCTCAATAAGGAGTCGCAGGGTTCTTTTCCAGCGTTGCCCCGCGAATTGCGCTCTGCTCAACCTGGTCTGCGGAGGAGTAGAGAGCTCCTGAGCGCTCCCCGGCGCGAGAGGGAGGCGAAGCCTTCCGCCCCACCTTGGGGGCCGTTTCCGGAGGCGATCCCTCGCCGCGGGGCGGCCGCCCGGGAGCTCCCTTCCTCTTCGCCAGAACAGGAAGTGATGCACGGGCCCCCATTTTCCGCCCAATCACGGCCGCTGTCTTATGCTCCGCCGCCGGCAGGTCGGTATTTTTACAGGCGGCTTTGGCAGGGGGGACGCTTGTCTCATGAGGTACATCCACCTGGGATAGATAGTGGCCCCTACGAGATATTTCCTGTACAAGTAGCTATGGGCCAGGGACGCAATGTATGGGAGCCTTTTGAGATAAAGCAGATTAGAGAACTTAAAAATGCAGTTACAACCTTTGGGCCGACTGCGCCTTACACCATTGCCATGCTGGAGAATCTGTCTTCTGGGCCCCTCACCCCCGCGGACTGGATTCAGCTGGCAAAGGCCTGTCTGCCCTCGGGCAGTTACCTGGATTGGCGAGCCTGGTATGCAGAGTTCTCTGCCGAGCAGGCTGAGAAAAACGCCAATCGAGGAAACCGGGGGTGGAACAAGGAAATGCTTATGGGAGAAGGTCGGCACGCTGATGACCAGACCCAGTTCCCCGGCGCTGTCTATGAGCAAATCAATGCCATAGGACTCCGCGCCTGGAAGCAGATAAGTGGTGCTGGAACAGCCTCCTTGTGTCTTTCAAAAATAATTCAGGGTACCACAGAGCCATTTGTTGACTTTGTGGCCCGAATGCAAGATGCTGCCGATAAGATATTTTCTGATCCGGGAGTGGCTCGACCGCTGGTAAGACAGCTGATTTTTGAGCAATGTACAAAGGAGTGCAAGGCAGCGATAGCTCCTCATAAGAACAAGGACCTCAATGCCTGGATTAGGATATGCAGAGAGATAGGGGGGCCGCTCTCCAACTCGGGAGTGGCTGCTCTCCTGGCCGCGGCTGTACAGCAGAGGGGACCTCGCGGGTTAGAAGGGGAATGTAAGGCTAAAGGGTGTTTTGCCTGCGGGGAGCCAGGACACATTAAACGTCACTGCCCAAACAATGCAGATGCTAGGCCTCGCCCTAGGAATGAAGAACCATATGTTTGTGGGCGATGCAAGAAGGGATCACACAAAGCTGAGGAGTGTAGGTCGGTCTTTGATGCTCAGGGCAACCGTATTTGTGGACAAGATGCTAGAGAGCCAAAAAACGGCCAGAGGGGGCCCCCTTCGAAGGCGGGCCCCCGCCCCAGAGACAGGACAGCTCAGGGTGGCAGCCTTCAACAAGGGCCACCCCTGGGTCAGCAGGTGTGGACCTCAGTGTCGCCTCAGGACTTATATTAGTGCCTGATATGGGTGTTCAAGTGGTTGAAACCACCTTTAAGGGACCGTTACCCGAAAATTCCGTGGGTCTGGTGATCGGGAGATCCTCCACGGCCCTTCGGGGTCTCACAGTAGTCCCGGGGGTCATAGACTCAGACTACACAGGACATATTAAAATTATGGTTCAATCTCTTGTGGGTACTATGGTAATTAATAAAGGAGACAAGATAGCGCAGCTCTTGCTGCTCCCCAGTCTCCACAAGAGATTTCCCTCAAAGCAGAAAATTAGAGAAAGTCAAGGTTTCGGCTCCTCAGGGGAAGTCTTTGAGGGACTCCATATGACACTTGGTAAAAGGCCTATGCTCTCACTTAAGGTCAATGGCAAAAATATAACAGGGCTCCTAGACACAGGAGCTGACCGTTCCATTATCTCCAGAAAGGATTGGCCTTCCAACTGGCCCACCAACACTGCAGATAACACGCTGCAGGGCCTGGGGATGGTGTCAGCTCCTCAGGTTAGTGCTTCAACCCTGCTCTGGTGCGATGAGGAGGGTCATCAGGGCCATTTCCAACCGTTTGTGTTGCAGTTGCCAGTGTCTCTATGGGGAAGGGACATCCTCACTCAGATGGATGTCACGCTTACGTCAAACTGCTCCCCCCAGGCTAAGGATATACTCAGGAACCAGGGATATACCCCCGGCAAAGGCTTGGGCAATGCCCTACAGGGTCGGACATCCCCAATACCAGTAGAAAACAAAAAAGGTAGGCAAGGATTGGGTTTTTCTTAGGGGCCGCTGAAGAAGCTCTCCTACCCACTTCGATCAAAATCACCTGGAAATCAAATGATCCGGTTTGGGTACCTCAGTGGCCCCTGCCTAAGGAGAAGCTATTAGCCTTGTCAGAAATAGTCAGTACACAACTCAGATTAGGACATATTAAGCCATCAACCTCCCCATGGAACACCCCCATTTTTATAATTAAGAAAAAGTCTGGCAAGTGGAGGCTGCTCCATGATCTAAGGGCGGTCAACGCGCAGATGCAGTCCCTGGGGGCGGTCCAGAGGGGGCTGCCAGCTCTCTCAGCCATCCCTCAGTCCTGGCCAGTTTATGTTATAGATCTTAGAGAGCTGTTCCTGTCTATCCAGACATTGCTTCAGAACAGACACCATAAGGTCTTCACCACCCACATAAGAGCACATACATCCCTGCCAGGGCCTATGGCACAGGGGAATGCGGCTGCTGACACTGCCACTCGCCCGTTATGGATTTTTACCTTACTAACACCAATCGAGCGAGCCCGTGCCTTCCATGATAAATTTCATGTTAATGCCAGGACACTAGCAAACCATTTCCATGTTTCTAGAGCAGATGCACGAGATATCGTGCGACTATGTGACTCCTGTGCCACATACAAACCTGCCATACCGATGGGAGTAAACCCTCGAGGTTTGATCCCTGGTGATGTTTGGCAGATGGACATCACACATATACAGGAGTTTGGGACTCTTAAATATGTTCATGTTTCCACAGACACCTGTTCTCGCGTCATATTTGCAACAGCAGAAACAGGTGAAAAAGTGTCTAATGTGATCAATCATTGCCTGGCGGCTTGGGCCGCATGGGGCAAACCAAAAATATTAAAAACTGATAATGGACCAGCCTATATAGGCAAAGCCTTCAATGAGTTCTGCAAAATGATGGAGGTTCAATTAAAACATGGTATCCCATACAATCCCCAAGGTCAAGGAATCATTGAGAGGGCTCATAGAAGCCTCAAAGAAATTTTACAAAAACAAAAAGGGGGAGTAGGCCAAGGCCTGGCCCCAAAGGCACGATTATCCATGGCACTATTCACACACAATTTTTTAAATTTAAATAATGATAATCGCTCCCCAGCTGTGGAGCACTGCAACCCTTCCCCCAACCATAAAGGGTGGGTGAAGTGGAAAGATGTCCTGACAGGACAATGGATGGGCCCGGATCCGGTAATCAGCTGGAACCGAGGCGCGGTTTGTGTTTTCCCACAGGAACCGGGACGAGAACCACTGTGGATACCGGAGAGACTGACACGGACAACAAAGCCCTCGACTAAAGATCAGACCTGCCCTACTGGAGATCCATCACAGACCAACCAACAAGATGAATAGAAATAGCGGTAGCCCGAAATGGACAAGAAGATCCTCAGGCATATGCATGGCTCGCTCGCCTAGCCTACGACCGAGTCTAGGGACGGTGAGCTTCCCACACTCCTCCTCTAAAAAATTATGATATAGCAGGGTAGATGAGTCAATGACGGGTAAGAGCGTGCCTCCCCAGCATGACTCGACCTAAGCCAGGCCCTACCCCATCCTGCACGTAAGCCGCTGGACTGTTAGATGCTGCCCAGGTCTAAATTTCTCTCCGAGGGGATTTCTTTACGGAGAGGAAATGAGTGCAAGCTTGTGTGCATCCAGGTTCCGTCCAGTTTGTGCCTGGCCCTAGAAAAAGGACGAGGGCCTCAGGGCCTTGGCAGACCATGGGACGGCCGACCAGGGTCTAAGCCAAGGACCTACGGTGGGCCTACGCATAGGGCATAAGCCTCTGCACCCAGTCCAGGAAGGGCTACGATGCGCACATTCATAAAAAATAAAAAAGGGGGAGATGTTGGGAGCCGCAGCCCCGAGCCCGGTCGCCTCACTTGGCGGACGTGAGGCCTGTAGTAAAGAGTGAAGCCTGAGGTAGATTACCCCTCCCATCGAATATGTTAGTTTCCTGCTTACCGCGTAAACAACCCGCTCAACAATATAGTCTGCCTGGCAACTGATGATGTTAGCCAATCAGCTTGCCTTGCTTACTTTAACATGATTGGACACTGTACCCGTATATATACCGGTGCCACCCCTGGGCGGAAGAAGAAGCCAGATAGAAGCCCGGAAGTAGAAGCCCAGAAGGAGCCGCAGAGAGCGGACCGATAGAGGCTTTGGGGCAGGCTGAAGCACAAAAGGAGCCGCGGGGAGCAGACCAAAGGAGGCTTCAGCTGGGAGAACCCAGGGCAGGCTGTACGGAGAAGGAAAATAAAAAGAAAAGGTTGTCCACTACCAGACTGTGTCGTGTGTCCTTCCTGCCGGCCGGGAGCGGACATCGACACACCCCGTGATGTTTTTCTCACTCCTACTAGTGAATGTAATGTAACACACACCCATACAAGGCGCACCACCCCGTGATGTTTTTCTCACTCCTACTAGTGAATGTAATGTAACACACACCCATACAATGCGCACCACCCCGTGATGTTTTTGTCACTCCTACTAGTGAATGTAATGTAACACACACCCATACAATGCGCACCACCCCGTGATGATTTTCTCACTCCTACTAGTGAATCTAATGTAACAAACACCCATACAATGCGCACCACCCCGTGATGTTTTTCTCACTCCTACCAGTGAATGTAATGTAACACACACCCATACAATGCGCACCACCCCGTGATGTTTTTCTCACTCCTACCAGTGAATGTAATGTAACACACACCCATACAATGCGCACCACCCCGTGATGTTTTTCTCACTCCTACTAGTGAATCTAATGTAACACACACCCATACAATGCGCACCACCCCGTGATGTTTTTCTCACTCCTACTAGTGAATCTAATGTAACACACACCCATACAATGCGCACCACCCCGTGATGTTTTTCTCACTCCTACTACTGAATGTAATGTAACACACACCCATACAATGCGCACCACCCCTTGATGATTTTCTCACTCCTACTAGTGAATCTAATGTAACAAACACCCATACAATGCGCACCACCCCGTGATGTTTTTCTCACTCCTACTAGTGAATGTAATGGAACACACACCCATACAATGCGCACCACCCCGTGATGTTTTTCTCACTCCTACTAGTGAATCTAATGTAACACACACCCATACAATGCGCACCACCCCGTGATGTTTTTGTCACTCCTACTAGTGAATCTAATGTAACACACACCCATACAATGCGCACCACCCCGTGATGTTTTTGTCACTCCTACTAGTGAATCTAATGTAACACACACCCATACAATGCGCACCACCCCGTGAAGTTTTTCTCACTCCTACTAGTGAATGTAATGTAACACACACCCATACAATGCGCACCACCCCGTGATGTTTTTCTCACTCCTACTAGTGAATGTAATGTAACACACACCCATACAATGCGCACCACCCCGTGATGTTTTTCTCACTCCTACTAGTGAATGTAATGTAACACACACCCATACAATGCGCACCACCCCGTGATGTTTTTCTCACTCCTACTAGTGAATGTAATGTAACACACAGCCATACAATGCGCAGCACCCCGTGATGTTTTTCTCATTCCTATTGGTGAATGTAATGTAACACACACCCATACAATGCGAACCACCCCGTGATGATTTTCTCACTCCTACTAGTGAATCTAATGTAACAAACACCCATACAATGCGCACCACCCCGTGATGTTTTTCTCACTCATTCCAGTGAATGTAATGTAACACACACCCATACAATGCGCACCACCCCGTGTTGTTTTTCTCACTCCTACCAGTGAATCTAATGTAACACACACCAATGCAATGCGCACCACCCCGTGATGTTTTTCTCACTCCTACCAGTGAATCTAATGTAACACACACCCATACAATGCGCACCACCCCGTGATGTTTTTCTCACTCCTACTAGTGAATGAAATGTAACACACACCCATACAATGCGCACCACCCCGTGATGTTTTTCTCATTCCTACTAGTGAATGTAACACACACCCATACAATGCGCACCACCCCGTGATGTTTTTCTCACTCCTACTAGTGAATGTAATGTAACACACACCCATACAATGCGCACCACCCCGTGATGTTTTTCTCACTCCTACTAGTGAATGTAATGTAACACACACCCATACAATGCGCACCACCCCGTGATGTTTTTCTCACTCCTACTAGTGAATGTAATGTAACACACACCCATAAAATGCACACCATCCCGTGATGATTTTCTCACTTCTAGTAGTGAATGTAACACACAACCATACAATGCGCACCACCCCGTGATGTTTTTCTCACTCCTACTAGTGAATGTAATGTAACAAATACCCATACAATGCGCAGCACCCCGTGATGTTTTTCTCACTCCTACTAGTGAATCTAATGTAACACACACCCATACAATGCGCACCACCCCGTGATGTTTTTCTCACTCCTACTAGTGAATGTAATGTAACACACACCCATACAATGCGCACCACACCGTGATGTTTTTCTCACTCCTACTAGTGAATGTAATGTAACACACACCCATACAATGCGCACCACCCCGTGATGTTTTTTTCACTCCTACTAGTGAATGTAATGTAACAGACACCCATACAATGCGCACCACCCCGTGATGTTTTTCTCACTCCTACTAGTGAATCTAATGTAACACACACCCATACAATGCGCACCACCCCGTGATGTTTTTCTCACTCCTACTAGTGAATGTAATGTAACACACACCCATACAATGCGCACCACCCCGTGATGTTTTTCTCACTCCTACTAATGAATGTAATGTAACACAAACCCATACAATGCGCACCACCCCGTGATGTTTTTCTCACTCCTACTAGTGAATGTAATGTAACACACACCCATACAAGGCGCACCACCCCGTGATGTTTTTCTCACTCCTACTAGTGAATGTAATGTAACACACACCCATACAATGCGCACCACCCCGTGATGTTTTTGTCACTCCTACTAGTGAATGTAATGTAACACACACCCATACAATGCGCACCACCCCGTGATGATTTTCTCACTCCTACTAGTGAATCTAATGTAACAAACACCCATACAATGCGCACCACCCCGTGATGTTTTTCTCACTCCTACCAGTGAATGTAATGTAACACACACCCATACAATGCGCACCACCCCGTGATGTTTTTCTCACTCCTACCAGTGAATGTAATGTAACACACACCCATACAATGCGCACCACCCCGTGATGTTTTTCTCACTCCTACTAGTGAATCTAATGTAACACACACCCATACAATGCGCACCACCCCGTGATGTTTTTCTCACTCCTACTAGTGAATCTAATGTAACACACACCCATACAATGCGCACCACCCCGTGATGTTTTTCTCACTCCTACTACTGAATGTAATGTAACACACACCCATACAATGCGCACCACCCCTTGATGATTTTCTCACTCCTACTAGTGAATCTAATGTAACAAACACCCATACAATGCGCACCACCCCGTGATGTTTTTCTCACTCCTACTAGTGAATGTAATGGAACACACACCCATACAATGCGCACCACCCCGTGATGTTTTTCTCACTCCTACTAGTGAATCTAATGTAACACACACCCATACAATGCGCACCACCCCGTGATGTTTTTCTCACTCCTACTAGTGAATCTAATGTAACACACACCCATACAATGCGCACCACCCGTGATGTTTTTGTCACTCCTACTAGTGAATCTAATGTAACACACACCCATACAATGCGCACCACCCCGTGATGTTTTTGTCACTCCTACTAGTGAATCTAATGTAACACACACCCATACAATGCGCACCACCCCGTGAAGTTTTTCTCACTCCTACTAGTGAATGTAATGTAACACACACCCATACAATGCGCACCACCCCGTGATGTTTTTCTCACTCCTACTAGTGAATGTAATGTAACACACACCCATACAATGCGCACCACCCCGTGATGTTTTTCTCACTCCTACTAGTGAATGTAATGTAACACACACCCATACAATGCGCACCACCCCGTGATGTTTTTCTCACTCCTACTAGTGAATGTAATGTAACACACAGCCATACAATGCGCAGCACCCCGTGATGTTTTTCTCACTCCTATTGGTGAATGTAATGTAACACACACCCATACAATGCGCACCACCCCGTGATGATTTTCTCACTCCTACTAGTGAATCTAATGTAACAAACACCCATACAATGCGCACCACCCCGTGATGTTTTTCTCACTCCTACCAGTGAATGTAATGTAACACACACCCATACAATGCGCACCACCCCGTGTTGTTTTTCTCACTCCTACCAGTGAATCTAATGTAACACACACCAATGCAATGCGCAGCACCCCGTGATGTTTTTCTCACTCCTACCAGTGAATCTAATGTAACACACACCCATACAATGCGCACCACCCCGTGATGTTTTTCTCACCCCTACTAGTGAATGTAATGTAACACACACCCATACAATGCGCACCACCCCGTGATGTTTTTCTCACTCCTACTAGTGAATGTAATGTAACACACACCCATACAATGCGCACCACCCCGTGATGTTTTTCTCACTCCTACTAGTGAATGTAATGTAACACACACCCATACAATGCGCACCGCCCCGTGATGTTTTTCTCACCCCTACTAGTGAATGTAATGTAACACACACCCATACAATGCGCACCACCCCGTGATGTTTTTCTCACTCCTACCAGTGAATGTAATGTAACACACACCCATACAATGCGCACCACCCCGTGTTGTTTTTCTCACTCCTACCAGTGAATCTAATGTAACACACACCAATGCAATGCGCACCACCCCGTGATGTTTTTCTCACTCCTACCAGTGAATCTAATGTAACACACACCCATACAATGCGCACCACCCCGTGATGTTTTTCTCACCCCTACTAGTGAATGTAATGTAACACACACCCATACAATGCGCACCACCCCGTGATGTTTTTCTCACTCCTACTAGTGAATGTAATGTAACACACACCCATACAATGCGCACCACCCCGTGATGTTTTTCTCACTCCTACTAGTGAATCTAATGTAACACACACCCATACAATGCGCACCACCCCGTGATGTTTTTGTCACTCCTACTAGTGAATCTAATGTAACACACACCCATACAATGCGCACCACCCCGTGATGTTTTTGTCACTCCTACTAGTGAATCTAATGTAACACACACCCATACAATGCGCACCACCCCGTGAAGTTTTTCTCACTCCTACTAGTGAATGTAATGTAACACACACCCATACAATGCGCACCACC